AGAGCACGGGAGGCCATACCTCGAAGACGAGGCAGGGAGGGGTGACCAAGGCGGTGGTGCCAGAGGAGAGTCTCGTGCGCCAGAGGACGACACGAGCAGGGGGCAGACGCAGGACTAGACCTGGACGCAGCAGCAAACACCTGACTGGACGCAGCTACCCGACCAGACGCAGGGACCGGAGGAGGCGCAGTAGTCAGTGTGTACAGACTCGACCCTGGCCGACGGGTGAACGTGGCCAGGTGGCGGCCCGTCCGAGAGCAAGTGCAGTGGGTCACACGCTGACCTCCAGGGGTGAACTGGTCAACCCACGCGTCCTGGAGGTCAGCTCCACTCACCAAGTTCGTAGAGAACGAGGGGAGGTGGAGTCCCGACAGCTAGCCCAACGGGGCCGCAGGACACGGTAGAACCGTGGAGGAGTGTGCAAGGACTGGTCCCCCGGAGGGGTCAGCAAGGGAGACCGCAACAGGCCGACGGAGCGGCGTGAGCGTGGTGCTGTCTCTAAAGAAAGAGCGCGAAGCACCAGAGTCAAGTGTGAAGGTGTGAAAGGACTCAGTAGGTGCAGTACCAGAGGGAGGAGACGTACCAGCACCTGGAGCAGCAAACGCACTAGCACCTAGAGCAGCAGCCGCACTAGCACCTAGAGCAGCAGCCACAGTGCCCGGGTCGGGCGGGACACGCAGGTAACAGGCACCCTCAGTAATATCAGCAAGACCATAGCAGATATAAGTTTGACATTGTTGAACGAAGCGACTTGAAGAACACATGTGTTGTCCGCAGCAACTGTCCAAGAACCAGGTGTCTTGCCCGGACGGTTCGCTTTGGGCGATAGCTGCATACGTTGGATTGGGTTCCAGTGATTCGCGGCGGGGAGTCCTTTCATCGAGTTGGTCTTCTGGTGAGTAGTGAGGTGGTGATCCGGTGACACAGGAATCCGTCGTTCTTGTCATGCAGCTAACGATGTTTCTTGTTCCTTGTGCAGATTGCGATGTTGAAGATGTTGAAGTTTGTACTTGACTGGTGGGATGCGCCTCCGTAGAAGTTACTTGACTGCTTGTTGATTCACGGGAGTTTCCGTTGACTCTGCAGCTGGTCTTGTGCCTCCTTCTGTCTGTAGGCCAGAGACTGGAGGTGGAGTGGGGGTAGTGCCGAGAGATCCGTTGGAGGAGCTCCTCTCCTTTTGTGTAGCCATGATTTGTGTTGTAAAAAGTTGAAAAGTGATATTGTCCTGCCTTGCTCTCATACCATGTTGGGCTGAGAAAAGCCCTTGGGAACCTTCAGGACTAAGATCAGGTGTTGACTTAGAGGTGTAATAGCGGAAGCGTTTTTAATGAAGAGTTGTCGTGAACCACCTTGTACTGGTGTGTGAGAACAAGATAAGTTGATAATAGCAGAGAAGTACAAGGTTTTTATATGATTACAAAGGAATATGGAAAGTTCTATTTTAACTGTTTTTGCTGTTGCGGTTCGATACAGTGCCGACTTGGATACAGTGCCGACTTGGGTTTCATTTTTTTCATTCAGATTCCAGTGTAGGCCGCCTGGCTGGCAAAGCCATGGCGGAATTCAGCGGGACGCACTTCCTCTTCAAGAACAAGAGAGCTCGCCCATGGCGACTTACCGACGACGGGTGGTATACCCGTGAGCCCGCAGCGCCTCCAGTGCCACCTGAACCCCCAGCGCCCCCTGCTCCTCCTGCACCTCCTGCTCCTCCTGCTCCTCCCGCACCTACCGCTCCTCCGAATCCGCCTGATATCGGTGCCAGTGCTCACCAACGGCCCGTGCTCCAGCTGTATTTACCAGCCACTTTCGACGAGTGGCTGTCTAAACCGGACACACCCAAGGCCCTTGATGTGTTCATCTAGGCTCCGCCGCCTGCACCACGGTGGGGACAGCACGAAGCCTGCACGTGGGACGAGTCGGCTGTGGGCGCCGACGATGACGTGGCCGCCGATAAACAATACAGCGGCGACGGCGACGGTGTCGGCGACGGTGAAGCAGGCGCCGAGGAGGACGTGTTCCCAGATCGTGGAGCAAGTGCCGAGGACGACGACGGTGTGGAGTCATGGTGGCGCGACGCACCACGCGAGAAGATGCCGATACCGACGTATCCGCCGATTAACAAAAAACGACCCCACCCCTCCTCCCAGAACCAAGATGCCCGCCCCCCCTCTCCCAGGCACAAGCCATCTCAACATAAACGGCAGGCCTACACCTCCCAGGAGAAACTCAGGTGGCTCGTGCGGCTGGAGCTGGCGGCATCTACAGTATAAGCGAGGTCGCGCGGGAGTCTGGCATACACCGCAAATGCCTGACAGAGTGGAAAAGCCAAGCAGAGGAGCTCAAGGCTTCACATGCCGCACGGTGTCGACTTCATGGTCGCGGGAGGTCTTCTTGGTACAAACCCATGGAGTTAAAGGTGTACGCTCAACTCCTCGACTGGCGACGCCGCGGTGTTGCAGTTTCAGTCGGCCGGCTCCAAGAATGGTCACGCGAAGCGATGAAGGTGCTGTTCCCGGAAGTCAAACAGAAAGGGAGTCAGCGGTGGTCGGAGCGGTTCCGCAAGCGGTGGAACCTCAGCGTGCGCATGAAAACTAAGGTGGCGTAGAAAACGCAGGAGCGTAAGTGCCTTGTTTCTCGCTTACCTCGAGCGAATTCGCATGCTTTATGAGTTGTACTCATCCTTCTTCCTATCCGTCCTTCCCTCCCCGTGCGCAGACGTGGCGACGCAGTGCAAAGAATTTTGGCAATTCGTCCGCGACGCACGCAACAAGTATGCGATCGACAATCGATACATAAACAACGCCGACCAAACGCCTCTTTGGTTGGAGATGCCGGCCACTACCACCGTGGAGCAGACGGGCGTGAAGTCGGTGCCCATCCGCAGCGCTGGTTACCAGAAAGAAAGAGTCACCGTGATACTGGCGTGCACGGCGACGGGCGAGAAGTTGAAGCCGTGGGTGTTTTTCAAGCGCAAGACACTCCCTAAGGGTGACTTCCCGAACGGTAAGCACATGTTCTTGTGCGTGTTCTTGACGTTATAAAAAAAAAAAGGGACTAACCACCGCTTGCTTGTGTGCAGATGTCGTGGTCGGTTGCCGAGCGAAAGGGTGGATGGAGGCCACGGGCGTCATCCAGTGGCTCGATGAGGGCGTGGTGCCGTTCCTGAAACCCAAATTCGGCGTGCAGAGTCGGAGCGCCATGCTAGTACTCGACTCCTGCCGTGGTCACCTTACCAAGGAAGTCAAGGCGAGATTCGCGGCGCTCAACATCGTGCCGGCGCTCATCCCAGCGGGATGCACGGCAGACGTGCAGCCGCTCGATGTGTCGGTGGACAAGAGCTTCAAAGCAAGTGTTCGCCAGCAGTACCAGTCCTGGTTTGAGGCGGACGGCATGAACATCCTAACACCTGCAGGTGAGCGAGGACATGTCCTCCCGTCTCCCCTTCGTGTGCTTGTCTGCCTGCTTGTGTTCTAATGTCCCCACTCTCTTTCATGTGGTGCAGGGAACATCAAGAAACCACCCCCGGAGGTGGTGCTCAAGTGGATTTCACGGGCGTGGAAGGCCGTGCCCGCCGACCTTATTAAGAAATCCTTCCTCACGTGCGGCATCAGCAATGCCCTCGACGGGAGCGAGGACCATATGGTGATGGCGCACCGGAGAAGCCAGCTGAGCCACGAGGTAGAGGTAGACGACGACATCCAAGCAGACGGGTTCTGGGGCAACAACTCCACGGAGCCTGAATCGGACGTGGAGGAAGTGGAGGCCTAAGGCTAGACTAGGCAAGATGGTGTTTAGGCCAGGACAATAGTCACCCTATTGTATGTGCAAAACTTTTAGGTAGTGCAAAATATCCTATTAAAGGCTAGCCTTGCTTTAGCTCTAAAGATAATGACATATTCAAAGTGTATGTTTTTTCTTTATTACAAGGGTGCGCTTATAATAAGTAACGAATTTATAAGGGGTGCGCTTCTAATTGAGGATCGGCCATAAGCGCATTGCTCCAGATATAAGCGCATGCGCTTTTAATAGGCCTGCTGTTATATCCGGGGCGATACGGTACCCGCTCGACACTCGCATCGACCACTGTTCCCGCCACTGTTCACGACGCGACCCAACCTCACAGTTCGGTTGGTAACCCGCGCTCTGGAAATCTGCCTCGACATTTTCCCAACCTCGGCTCTAGGCCCGTAGCGCACTCCATTTTCTCGCGTTACCGTTACCACGCTAGCTTCGCTACATATTGTTCGCTCATGCCTCATTGTGCTGTTTTGTTTCGATATTGCAATTCTCTCTCTCGCTCAATTGCACTCTTAAGAGTGATCTTGTATTGAGTCATCCCATTTTCAAAGGCCAATAATTTTGTGCAACAACTTCTGGCGATTCGGCCCAATGTCACCACTGGCAGTTGGAAGTCTGCAGAAAATGCTTTCGATGCCTCAATTCCTCCGAACGTGAAGTTTTCCCAGAGCACAAAAGAGGTGCGGAACAAGGGTGCGAGCCACGGGCACGGTGAACAAAGCGGTTCGGCTTGGTCGGTGTTGCGGAACACCCAAGGCCGAGCCTAGGGACTGCCTTCGTGTCATCGTCGTCATTTCCTTCGCCGTGACGGGATAGCCTATGTCCCACTCTCATCCCACTCTCATCACACAACTCTCCCTTGGCTTATGGCTCTATGTGGTCCGGTCCTCCAAGCAACCATACGCATCGCATACAACAAGCCTGTGATTCACAAACAAGTCACTTCCTAGTAGCTGTTCCTGACTCACTTGCTCACGCCATTGTTGCTTGAGAATCTCAGAGCCTGTTCTTCCATGTTTCCGTGACTTTTCGCGGCAATACTTTTAATTCGTTGTTCTTCTTGCAACCAGAGCTTGTATCAGCTCTTCCATTGCTTACCACAAATTCACGTAAGCCAGACCTACAGAGAAGTACCAAATAGTGCCAACACGTAAGCCAGACCTTCAGTCCGAGAAGTAAGCCAGTACAGCAACCACGCCGTTATGGCAGGCTACGATGCTGCAACGAGCGAACGACCGTCTCAGACGACCGTCAATCCTACACCGAAGTCTGTCAGAATGTGGGACGTTTTCCGTCCGCACATCCTGGATTGGGTCGTCTTCGTCCTCATCACCGCGGGGTCCATCGCCCTTGACTCCGTTCATCCCTTCCAGCAATTCGTTAACGCCGATTACATGCAAAAGTACATGTACCCGTTAAAGCCCGACTCCGTACCATTTTGGGCCGTTCCGGTGAGTTCAGGTACCTATGCCTCTCGACGTCTCGCTTCTGGCTTTTAATTTCTATTGCTATTATGGGTAGAAGACGTGAACGTTTAACCTCTCTTTTCCGAAATAAAAGGCCTTGAAGTTCCATAATGGCCTCAGTGTTGGGCTAATTGTAAAATAATGTTATCAATCCTTATAATGCTCGTCGTATCCCTCTCCATCCTCGTCAGGTGTACGCGTTTGGGTTTCCATTGCTGGCGATGACCGTGTCATTCATCCTACGCCGCGACTTCATCGACTTCCACAGCTCGCTGCTAGGTCAGTTGTGATCAGCCAGGTCAGTTGTGATCAGCCAGGTCAGTTGCGATCAGCCAGGTCAGTTGTGATCAGCCAGGTCAGTTGTGATCAGCCAGTTCAGTTGTGATCAGCCAGGTCAGTTGTGATCAGCCAGGTCAGCTGTGATCAGCCAGGTCAGCTGTGATCAGCCAGGTCAGCTGTGATCAGCCAGGTCAGCTGTGATCAGCCAGGTCAGCTTGATCAGCCAGGTCAGCTGTGATCAGCCAGGTCAGCTTGATCAGCCAGGTCAGCTGTGATCAGCCAGGTCAGCTGTGATCGGCCAGGTCAGCTGTGATCAGCCAGGTCAGTTGAAATGAGCCAGGTCAGTTGTGTTTTTTTCGCTCCTCGATCAGTTGTGATGATTTTTCCTCTCCTCGGTCAGTTGTGATCCGTCGCTACTGATATATAATCTCCAAGCAGCGCATGTCGTGGCTCACTCCCTCCCTCCCAACCCGCTCACGGCACACAAAGGCGGCAGGTGTCTTTCGTACTTACCCGCACAATTTGTCATCAGCTCCTTCTCTTGCCCTCAACTCGCATTCCTTCTCCCAGGCCTCTCCCTCCTCACGCCGTTCTGCTTCAACACCCCCTCTTCCTCTTTGCGCTTCCAGCTTTCGGCTTCCATTGGGCACCCCCTCTCCCAAACCCTCTCCCCCATTCTCCCCCATTCTTCCCCATTCTCTTTACCCCATTCCCTTGCCCATTCCTTCACCCCCGTTACCTCACCCATATCCCCTTTCCCCAATTCCCTTGGCCTCATTCCCATTCCTGTCCCTCCTCAAGTCTCGTCTTCACCTTCCTCCTCACCAACACGCTCAAAGTGATTGCACTGGATTCGTCCCCCATTCCCTCTCCGTTGTGCCCGTCCCTCCTCCTCAAGTCTCGTCTTCACCTTCCTCCTCACCAACACGCTCAAAGTGATTGCACTGGATTCGTCCCCCATTCCCTCTCCGTTGTGCCCGTCCCTCCTCCTCAAGTCTGGTCTTCACCTTCCTCCTCACCAACACGCTCAAAGTGATTGCACTGGATTCGTCCCCCATTCCCTCTCCGTTGTGCCCGTCCCTCCTCCTCAAGTCTCGTCTTCACCTTCCTCCTCACCAACACGCTCAAAGTGATTGCACTGGATTCGTCCCCCATTCCCTCTCCGTTGTGCCCGTCCCTCCTCCTCAAGTCTCGTCTTCACCTTCCTCCTCACCAACACGCTCAAAGCGACAGCATCTGATTCGCGCCCCCATCTCCCGCGCCCCCATCTCCCTCGTCCCCCATTTCCCGCGCCCCCATCTCCTCCCCCCTGGCCAGGTTTCGCCTTCACCGTCCTACTCGCTCACCAACGCGCTCCAAGTCACAGCATTTGCTTCACGCCCCATTCCCTCGCCTCGCCCCCATCTTCTTCCCTCCCTCCTCACCCCCCCCCTCCCTTCACATTTCCACCACCTTCCTGCTGACCAACGCGCTAAAAGTCCCCGTCAGCCGGCTCTACGCACTTGACCCCAGTTTCTTAACCCCCTTTCCCCACCCACTCTCATCCCCTCAACCCATTCCCTTGCCCCCACATGACAGCATCTGATTCGCGCCCCCATCTCTTCCTGCTCACCAACGCGCTAAAAGTCCCCGTCAGCCGGCTGCACTTGACCGCAGTTTCTTAACCCCCTTCCCCCACTCCCATCCCCTCAACCCATTCCCTCGCTGCGTCAGGTTTCGTGTTCAACTGTGCGACCACCTTCCTGCTCACCAACGCGCTCAAGGTCTCCATTGGCCGGCCCCGGCCACACTTCTTCATCGTCTGCTTCCCCTCGGGCGTTCCTGTGAGTCCAGCTCTTTAGCAATTGCACAATCTGGGCGCACGTTTTTGTTCCTCCCATTATAAGTTTTTTTCCGAGCCATGGCCATGGGTTTGATATCGGGGTGATAGGTGCGAGTCACGCTGGTATCTTCTCACGGGGTGATAGGTGCGAGTCACGCTGGTATCTTCTCTCGGGGTGATAGGTGCGAGTCACGCTGGTATCTTCTCTCGGGGTGATAGGTGCGAGTCACGCTGGTATCTTCTCTCGGGGTGATAGGTGCGAGTCACGCTGGTATCTTCTCTCGGGGTGATAGGTGCGAGTCACGCTGGTATCTTCTCTCGGGGTGATAGGTGCGAGTCACGCTGGTATCTTCTCTCGGGGTGATAGGTGCGAGTCACGCTGGTATCTTCTCTCGGGGTGATAGGTGCGAGTCACGCTGGTATCTTCTCTCGGGGTGATAGGTGCGAGTCACGCTGGTATCTTCTCTCGGGGTGATAGGTGCGAGTCACGCTGGTATCTTCTCTCGGGGTGATAGGTGCGAGTCACGCTGGTATCTTCTCTTGGGGTGATAGGTGCGAGTCACGCTGGTATCTTCTCTCGGGGTGATAGGTGCGAGTCACGCTGGTATCTTCTCACGGGGTGATAGGTGCGAGTCACGCTGGTATCTTCTCTCGGGGTGATAGGTGCGAGTCATGCTGGTATCTTCTCTCGGGGTGATAGGTGCGAGTCACGCTGGTATCTTCTCTCGGGGTGATAGGTGCGTCCAGAAACTGCCTTATGAGAACCAGCAGTGTACTACCTCTCAATGCACCAATCAGTGCAGCTCTTAGTGCAGTGCCCGCAGTTTTGTCTCTTTCATCTCCCCTTCTTTCACCCCATCTCTTCTCCCTCAAACCTGCCATGGCATGCCAGGTGTACGGCAGCGACGGCTCGTCATCAAGTGTAATGGAGTCCAGACTCAGCTTCCCCAGCGCTTTCCCCAGCGCCGTAGCGCTTACAAGGCAACTCTATAATCTCCCCTCCCCACTGCACTGCCTGCCAGGTGTACGGCAGCAACGGCAACGCACAGTGTAACGGGTCGTCCTCCAGTGGCATGGAGTCCAGAGTCAGCTTTGAGACGTCTCAAAACTAGAGTCCCGCCTCCAGTGAGACCAACCCCCCTCTTCTCCCCTCCCCTCCTCTCTCCCCTCCCCTCCACCTTCCACTGCACTGCCTGCCAGGTCTACGGCAGTGACAGCAACGCGCAGTGCAACGGCTCGTCCTCCAGTGTCATGGAGTCGAGAGTCAGCTTCCCCAGCGGCCACACCTCCAGTGAGACCAACCCCCCTCCCCTCCCCTCCCCTCCCCTCCCCTCCCCTCCCCTCCCCTACCCTCACTTCCCCTCCCCTCCTCTCTCCCCTCCCCACCCCTCCCTTCCCCTCCTCTCTCCCCTCCCCTCCCCTCCTCTCTCCCCTCCCCTCCCCTCCTCTCTCCCCTCCCCTCCCCTCCTCTCCCCCCTCCGCTCCCCTCCTCTCCCCCCTCCATTCCCCTCCGTTTTCACCTCGCCTCCTTTCCTCTCTCTCCAACTCTCCCTCTCGCCTCTCCTCTCTCCCCTTCTCCTCTCCTCTTCCCACAACATACCTCTCTAAATGCAATCCCTACCCTACCCATCTCGTGCAACCCCCATGCTCCCCCTCTCCTCTTCTGAAGAATGTACACCCATCGTTTGCATCCCGTCTCTTCTCCTCCTCGTTTCCCACTTTCCCCATTCCCTTCCACCCACCCGTTTCTCGTCCCCTCCCCTGCCCAATGATGAGGCGATTTTTGAGTCGACTAAAAAATCCCCTCCCCTGCCCAATGTCCTTTTCAGGTTTGACCTACGCAGCACTCTTCCTGGCAGCCAAGCTATAGATTTTCAGCGCAGGAGGGAGGGGGCATCTGTGGCGGAAGGGGCCTGATTTCATCTTCCTCTGCCCCTGCCCTGTTCCCCATTTCCCCCTTCCCATCCCCTTCCCCTGCCCCAGTGTCTTTCTCAGGTTTGACCTATGCAGCGCTCTTCCTCTCAGCAAAGCTCCAGGCCTTCATTGCAGGAGGGAGGGGGCAGCTTTGTGCCTCATTTCATGAACCTCGAATTTACAGCTCCCTCTTTCCCTTCCCTGTTCCCCACTCACCCTCTTCCCCTCCCCTTCCCCTTGCGCTACCTCTTCCCCGCTCCTTCCTTCCCATCCGCCTCCCTGCCCCGGTGTCTTTCTCGGGTTTGACCTACGCTGTGCTCTTCCTCGCGGCCAAGCTGCAGGCGTTCAGCGCAGGAGGGAGGGGGCAGCTGTGGCGGCTGGTGGCTGATTTTCCCACTCGCCCCTTTCCGTCCCCTTCCCGTGCCCCAGTGTCCTTCTCGGGTTTGACCTACGCTGCGCTCTTCCTGGCAGCCAAGCTGCAGGCGTTCAGCGCACGAGGGAGGGGGCAGCTGTGGCGGCTGGTGCCGTCGGCATGCTGCCTGGCAGGCGCTGCTTCAGTGGGCATCACTCGAATCGACGACTACTGGCACTTCCCTTTTGATGTGTTCATGGGAGGGTTGATAGGTAAGGGCTCATTATAGGCACATGCCTGTTCGGGTTCGAAGGGGAGGGGGCGGCTGTGGAGGATAGTGCTATCAGCATGCTGTCTGGCAGGCGCTGCTTCCGTGGCCATCACTCGAGTTGACGACTACTGGCACTTCCCCTTGGACGTGTTCATCGGAGGGTTGCTATAGGTAGGCTGAACCCTCGTGTAAGATCTGTTTACCTTATGGGAATGCTTTGAGACGTCTCAAAACTACACTTTTATCACGAGGGTTGCTATAGGTAGGCTGAACCCTCGTGTAAGATCTGTTTGCCTTATGGGAATGCACGTGAATGTCTCGTTCGGATACGGGGGTAGGCGGCAGCCGTGGAGGCTAGTGCCGTCTGCATGCTGCCTGGCGGGTGCTCTTTTCGTGGCCATCGAGTGGACGACTACTGGCTCTTCTCTTCCCCTTCGACATGTTCGTCAGGGGGCTTCTAGGTAGGCCAACTGAGACGATTTTTGAGTTGACTCAAAAATCATCGAGTGGACGAATATTGGCTCTTGTCTTCCCCTTCGACGTGTTCGTCAGGGGGCTTATAGGTAGGCCAACTGGATGCATGCATGGGCCATAATTGCATGGGTGCATGAGGGCATGAAAGCATGAGGGCATGAGAGCATGGGTGCGTTCGGGCATGAGGGAATGAGGGTAGGAGTTCAGTGGACGGTTTTGGGAATCCACTACATCCCCGCGAAACGTGTAGGACAGCGGTTGCCGACTGGGCAGGTGCTTGCGCCGTTGGTTTTTCCCCGACCATTTTCTTCTTCTCCCTGCCTTGCCTCCTTACCTCCTTCGTGTCTTGCCTTCTTGCTTCCTTACCTCCTGCCCACTGGTGTTGCATTCCACCTTAACTTATTGACCCATGCCTGTGCAGGTATGGTGGTTGCAGCCATATGCTACTTCCTGCACTACCCTGCATTGTCCAACCAGAACTGTACGTCCTGCACTGACTTAATTGACCTATTTGATATATTTGAACGATTTGATCTATTTATCTTGTCCATAGTTCTCCTAAAACTTAATTTCTTACCCTTTTTCGTTGCCCCAGACTTCCGTTCCTTCCCTTTCTTGTTCCATAACCATTAGCCACCCTTTTCCTCCCCGGCCTTTACCTTTGGTTTCATGATCAGGTGATATTCCGCTTCTGTCTCTCGGCCCAGAAGCGGAAACTTGTCAGGTTTCATGTTGTGGGAGCAAGAGAGCTCTTGCTGCGGACCTAGAGCACAATGAATCTAGGGGAGAGCCCACTGAACCTAGTGGAGTGTAGAGGATAAAAGAGTGAGCCGAAATAGTTGGTAAAGCTGAGGGAAGGAAACCCTATCCGATAAATATTCCGAGGTGTTTAATGCAGTGCTGTTCATGTGGTAGTGATTCTCTAACAAGGAGTTAGCGTTTGCTTCTATAACGTATGCTAAAGCTGAGTTTGTTGTACCTTGCACACAGTACGCACCGACAAGCTTGTAGTGTAAGCTGAGCTGGCGGAACCGAAAGCTCTACGTTATCGCTCAGTTGTATCGGAGAAGCTTCTAAGATAGCACGAATCCACAAGAACCAGAAACCAGCGAATCCACAAATGTGGCGACTTGGGACGACGACGTTCGTGCGCATTCGCAGCGTTGTTACACAGTTTGCAAGATTGGTTAAGCCTTTCGTAAGCTCTTCTTGTTCCACTGTTTGTTGCTGCTCGTTCAAGTTTGGGCAACTGTACTTTCCTCCATCATTATTATGGCTGCTTGCGCAGCAGAATTCATGGCTGTTCTCCATCCGTTCCAGGTTCCACCTGAGTCCGGTCACGACCATGAAGGATGGCTAGGATGAAAGGAGCGTGGGCGTTGACGATGTGGATTCTGCTTTGAGAGCCGTACAGGGTCGGCCTCGTATTGCGTTCCGTCACCCCCGTCCCGCGTTCCTGCCTGCATGACTGGTTTATCCGCCTCTAGTTTTGAAGCGCCTCAAAACTTGGTTTCGCATGTAGTTAGAGTACCCGCCTCTTTTCAAAATAACTTGTTTTGACGCACGTTTGATACAATATGTCTGACGTGGCGACCGACGGTCAGGCCACAAGGCGGCGCGGGTCCCTTACAACCATCTTTCTTAAATATGTCATCGACTGGGGTGTGCTGCTGCTTATTGTCGCCGGAGCGATCGCCGTCAATTTCATCGAGCCGTTTCCGAGATTCGTAGATTCCGAGGACATGGAAGGGTTGATGTACCCGTTACTGGACAACACCATCCCGTCATGGGCTGTCCCGGTAAGATTGCGTTGATTCATCAGTTCCGATTCTCTAAATGCGTCTTCAGTGTGCAATACTCAAATTAGGCAAGTTATGTCTAGATTCTGCATCCGGACTTGCGCTCAATTCTGAATCTTGTTCTCTAGCTCATGCTTCAATGTTGAAGGCACCACTGTGAGTAGCAGCAGCAGTAGTGTGGGTATCACAGCTCTGCGTCTGCTCGAACTCACGGTTGGCCACGCTCACACCTTCCTGTAACCCTGTGTCTACCAAGCGGTGACTCGCCGCTTGAGTTCGCTGTCTGCCATGTTCACTCTCACCTCCCTGTAACCTTGTTAATCTGTAACCATGTATCCACCAGGTGATCGCTCTGGCTCCTGCTGCCGTCGCTTTCCTTGTTCACTACGCCATCCGGAGGGACGTCGTGGACATTCACCACTCGGTGCTAGGTGCGTTGCACAGAGGCTTGTCGTTTTTTGAGTTGACTTGCAAGCCACTCCGCGGGGACCTCGTGGACATGCACCACTCGGTGCTGAGTGAGGGTGCGCTGAGTTGGCTTTTGAGTCGTCTGAAAAGTCAATGTGACATCGTGGACATCCCCCACTCCGTGCTAGGTGCGTGGCACAGAGGCTTGTCATACTATGAGTCATCTGAAAAATCAACTGGTTCCTGCTGCCATCGCTTTCCTTGTTCCTTGTTCACAAACACCATTGACTGACAGATTTGCCAGACTGACTGACAGACGTCTTCAAAGATTCTCCCACCGTCGCACCACCCAAGCACCATTGACTGACAGATTTGCCAGACTGACTGACAGACGTCTCTAAAGATTCTCCCACTGTGCACCACCCAAGCACCACTGACTGACAGATTTAACTTTTGAGCTGTCTCGACGATCTTCTCACTAGGAGGTGACTGACATGCACCACTGGCACCATTGACTGACAGATTTGCCCGACTGACTGACAGGCGTCTAAAAAAAATGACTCACTATGCACCACCCAAGCACCATTTAGTAGTCTCAAATATTTTCTCACATGCACCATTGGCATCATCGAAAAACAGATGTTGGGAACCTTATTAACATGACATGAATCAGCGACGTTATGGACATGCTGCTGGCTTTATCAGTGCTTGGAATTTATCAGTACTTGGCATTTATCAGTCCTCGGCATTTATCAGTACTCGGCGTTTTCCAGTACATTGATGAAACCCATCCTGACATCATCGCCATCCTTCTCATAGGCATTGGTAACATTTCTAAACAATCCTAAACATTGCTAACATTGCTAAACATTGCTAACATTGCTAAACATTGCTAACATTACTATCATTGCTAACATTGCTAACATTGCTAAACATTGATAAGCATTGCTAACATTGCTAACAATGCTAAACATTGCTAACATTGCTAACATTGCTGGCAGCTATTTAGGACATTGCTGCCATTGCTGACAACAACTATCAACGACGTTGCTGTGTTGGCCATAACGTCCCTTATTCAGTTCATTGGCAACTGCTAGGGACATTGTTGACAACCGTCTCAACATTTCCAACATTCGTCGAAACACTGTTGAAATCCGTCAAAACACTTCCGACATTCATCAAAAAATAAAAGAAAGAAAGAAGTAGTAGAAGAAGAAGAAAAAAAAAAGAAGAAAAAAAAAAACATCCTTCCTCACCCTCTAGCATCCGTATCCCTCTTCCCCCCTTCTCAACCCCCAGGCCTGCTTTTTGCCTTCTTCTCCACGCTGCTCATCACCGATGCTCTCAAGGTCTCGGTTGGCCGTCCCCGCCCCGACTTCTTCATCAGATGCTTCCCCTCAGGAGTCCCTGTGAGTCAAATGATCCCCTTCCTCCCGCCATTCCTCTTCTTCCTATATTTTAACGTCTCCGCTCTCGCCTCAATAACCGGCCCTGCCCAGACTTTTTCATCAGATGCTTCCTTGCAAGAGTTCTTGTGAGTCAAGCTGCAAAACTCTTATGTGTTTGTGTGTCATCACCACCCTGCCACTACCACATTTCTATACATACTATCTTGCTGAAAAGTAATCCTTACAGAAATATAGAGAACAATTGCCACTGGCAACACATTGGATTGTGTCAGGTTATCTGTGTTGTGAAACCTTAAAGAGTTGCAAATGATTCATATTCCCTGCCGCCCGCCCTCCTCCCTTCTCTTCAGGTGTACAGCAGCAGTGGCAATGCGTTGTGTAACGGCAATCCATCCATTGTGAGCGAAGGAAGAAAGAGCTTTCCGAGCGGACATGCATCGGGTGTGTGTCCCGTCTCCTTATCTCTGTGCTTTTCCATTCTTTTCCACTGTAACCCACAAGTCCTGACCCGAAACCCTTTTGGAGACATCCCCGCTGTGCTGTTGCTGGAAGACCACACCCGAACCCTTTACGAAGACCTCCCTCCTATGCTGTCACTGGAAATCGTGAATCAAAATCACACATTTTTCTCCTCGTCTTTTGAGTCGACACAAAAGTCACCTCCTGTGCTGTTATTGGAAATCATGAATCAAAATCACAATTTTTTCTCCTCGTCCCATCCGACCCCTTCACCCTTCTTCCCCCCCACCTCCCCACTTCTGCCTGCAGTTTCCTTTTCAGGCCTGGCCTATCTCTCTCTCTTTCTAGCAGCCAAGCTCCACTCCATCTCGTCCTCCGCCGCTCACCTCTGGCGTCTGCTGCCCCCTGCGCTGCCTCTGGTGGGGGGAGTGGCCGTCGGAATCACACGCATCGACGACTACTGGCACTTCCCTTTCGACGTCTTTGTGGGCAGTCTCATCGGTGCGTGGCTGAACATGTTTCTTTTCTTTTTTTCTTTTGAGACTTCTCGACACGCATCTGCTGCCCCTTGTGCTGCCGCTGGTGGGGGGAGTGGCCGTCGGAATCACACGAATCGATGACTAATGGCACTTCCCATTTGATGTTTTCGTTGGCAGCCTCATCGGTGCGTGGTTCGTCATGCCTACTTGTTTTTTTTTTTTTTGTGCAATATATTACCCAAGTATATGTATATATATATATGTATATATTTATAACAGGAATTGCAGAGAGCTGGCTGTGGGCTTGTTCTGTTCTTCTGGTATGGTATGTGCTCGCAGCTCTACTGTTGACGCTGGTAGTCTTTGTTACAAGACCATAAGGACGCGACGAGTGAGCGCATGTCTTTGTATATGCATCTACTCTCTCACTGCCGTCTGTATAGTCTCTGGTGCCCAGCGGATTTTTTTTCAAACCCTGTAGTATTTCCTGCCATGCGTGTCGTCCCCTCTTCTCAGCGCTCCTTCCCTGTCACCTTGCTTGGCTCTTTTTGTGATGCAGGCATATCCTTTGCTGCTATCTGCTACTTCATGCACTACCCATCGCTGCGCCATGACTACTGTATGTTACATTGTCACCTGACCTCGTGACAGCTTGGTTTTTTTTTTTAGATGTCTTAAAGCCCATCTTCTGTGCTGCAATGTGCTACTTCATGCACTACCCATCGCTGCGCCATGACTACTGTATGTTGCATTATCACCTGCGCTTCCTCACATCCACTCCCTCTGCCACCCTCGAACACTGTCTCCCGTCACCCCTTTTGTCAGTGCCTGTTTCACGATCGTTAAAGCCCTTCTGCTTCTCCTCCCTCTTGTGATTCAGTGGATCTCCTCTATCGTCACTCAACAAACCTACTCACTTTCATAAACCCCAAACCCTGTGGTTGCTGCCATTTGGCTGTAGTCACCTGCAAGGGTGTCTATTTCTGTTGCATGCGTGAAGTGTACTCCAATTGTGTTGCCTCTGGAATGCTGTGTCATGTTTTCGTAACTGTTGTTGCCATCTCGCACGTGTTGCCATCTTGCTCGTGTTGCCATCTTGCTCGTGTTGCCATCGCGCTCGTATCTGCTGCTGCTGTTGAAGTTATGGAACCTGTCACCACTCCCCTGGATTTGGGACATTTTTATGCTCGACTAAAAGATCGTCTCATCTCATATGGAACCTGACACCACTCCCCGAGGTTGGCATGCTATCACAACAGGTCATCTCCCTCGCGATGTGGTCAGGTCTGAAGTTTCTAGAAGAGCTGTTTTGGATGACAATATTGACTCTTCGCTGGATGTGCCTGCCAACGGTGATGATGGGTCGTCACAGGTCTGATGCACTTGCAACGTGAGATGAAGTCCCATGCAATCTTAGTTTGTTTGGATGCAAGATTCCGTATCTGGCAGTGAATACACATGTTGTGTAGCATGCACAGGAAGTCCCGAGCGTGTTATCCCTAGTTGCTGCTCTCTGGAAGCATCACCCCCTGCTGGACTTGGATTGTGTTTCCTATCAGTACTTCACTTTCCCTCTGAATTTAGGCTCTGTGTATAAATGGGCTGATTGAAGGTTATTTGTCTGCATGCACATCACACGTAGCATGCCCACCAAACCCCAGTAAGGGAACAACTTCACTTAACTGTACTCTCTTGTGCTTCGCAAGGAAGTGTTCTACGGCGACCTGACCTGACTAACTGTTCATACTGCAATTCCAACGCAGGTCTCTCGCGCTCCCCTTATTGCGGCGGGGGCAGGGAGACCGTGGCATGTGTTGTGAGTTTCAAAGAGTACATGGAAGTCAGGCTAGGCTGAAAAATGGGCGAGGTAGAGTGAAGTTAGAAGCATTTTATATTGAAAGAAATATATTCCTTGGTGTAAGGAAGTGTTCCATATGGCAGTAGTCTGTTGTTGTAAGGAAAAATCATTTTCCTTCCTTCGCGTCCCTGCTCAGCACGTACAACACTGACAGCACCCCACAATATTCCGTTACCACTCGCGACATTCGCATCGACACCATTCCCGCCACTGTTCACGATGCGACCCAACCTCACGATTCGGCTGGTAACCCGCGCTCCGGACCTCCGCCTCAACAGTTCCCCAAACCTTGGCACTAGGCCCGTTGCGCATCCCATTTTCCCACGTTACCGTTACCACCGTAGTTTCGCTATATATTCTTCGCTCAATTCTTCGCTCATTGTATCTTGTCTCGATAGTGCAATCCTCGCTCGCTCACTCAATTGCACTCGTAACAGTTGTGTAGAATTGCTGTCAGAACATATATATAGCTTATGCAGTTGTGTAGGCTATAGTGGGGTATCCCATAGGGGGTACAACCCAATTATGGTTTCCTATATGTACTCACTTCATTCATAGTTCATTCATTCTTGTTCAAACTTTCTCATGGTATCGAGCAGGTTCCCCCTTGGGAACTGTGCTTAGGGCCCACCACATCGTTTTTTTTTTTTTTTTTTTTTTTTTTCCTGCCCGAAGCGCGCTCAGCCCGAGTCGCGCTCCGGGCCCTCACTTCGTCGAGCCGCCCTAGCGGCCCTTCATCGCGGCCCCGCCGCCTCTCTCCTAGCGGCCCCGCCGCCCTACCTAGCGGCCCCGCCGCCCTACCTCGCGGCCTCGCCGCCCTATTGCGCGGCCCCGCCGCCCTACCTAGCGGCCCCGCCGCCCTTACTCGCGGCCTCGCCGCCCCATTGCGCGGCCCCGCCGCCCTACCTCGCGGCCTCGCCGCCCCATCGTGAGGCCCCGCCGCCCTACCGAGCGGCCCCGCCGCCCTTCCTCGCGGCCCCGCCGCCCCATCGCGCGGCCCCGCCGCCCTACCTAGCGGCCCCGCCGCCCTTCCTCTCGGCCCCGCCGCCCCATCGCGCGGCCCCGTTGCCCTTCCTCGCGGCCCCGCCGCCCCATCGCGCGGCCCCCGCCACTCTACCACGCGGCCCCGCTGCCCTATCTCGCGGCCCCGCCGCCCTACCCAGCGGCCCCGCCGCCCTTCTGCAGCGGCCCCGCCGCTCCTCTACAGCGGCCAAGCCGCCCAGCAGCAGCGCAGCCGAGCCGCCCAGCAGCTGCAGCCGAGCCGCCCGGCCGCCCACCAGCCGAGCCGCCGTGCAGCCGACCGCCCAGCCGCCGAGCCGCCCAGCCGTCGAGCCGCCCTGCAGCCGAGCCGCCCGGGAGCCGAGCCGCCCTGCCGCCGAGCCGCCCTGCCGCCGAGCTGCCCGGGAGCCGAGCCGCCGAGCCGCCCTGCCGCCGAGCCGCCCTGCCGCCGAGCCGCCCGGGAGCCGAGCCGCCCAGCAGCCGAGCCGCCGAGCCGCCCAGCTGCCGGGCCGCCCTACTACCGAGCCGCCCGACCTGCCCTGCCTGGTGAGCACAGCACCACTGTTACTGCGTGCCCTTCCCCTACTGCTTGCACTACTACACTGTCGTCGTCATGGCTACCCCTAGTGTCCTCGCTTTTGACGCTGAGGGTCGAGCCATTGACTTTGAGGTCTGGGTCGACGACCTGCAGCTGTTCTTACAGTGCGATAGGACGGACGGTCTTTCCCTCTTTGACCTCACCTCTGGCGCCTCTCCTGCCCCTGCTGCTGATGCTGACCCCACTGTTCGCTCTCAGTGGGCCACCCGCGATGCTGCTGCTCGTCTTGCTGTGCGTCGTCACCTGCCTACCACTGAGCGCGCGCACTTTAGTCAGTACAAGAGTGCTCAGACCTTGTACGACGCTGTAGTTGCGCGCTACTCTTCCCCTGCCACTGCTGCCCTGAGCCGCCTCATGCTACCGTACCTCTTTCCTGACCTTGCTGCCTTTCCCACTGTCGCTGACCTCGTTACGCACCTCCGCACTAGTGACACTCGCTACCGCGCCGCCCTTCCTGCTGAGTTCTGCGCCAAGAACCCCCCCCCCATGTACATCACTCTCTATTACATAGTCACACGCCTCCCTGACTCCCTTCGCGTAGTCAGGGACCACTTCCTCTCAGTCTGTCCCACCACTCTCACTGTCGACCTCCTCGAGAAGTCCCTCCTGGCGGCGGAGAAGAGCATCGTCGCTGTAAGAGCCTCTCGTGGTGACCCTCGCACCCCCATCTTTGAGGGGTGTTCTCCTTCCCCCCTGCTGCCCTCTGTTGCCTCTGCTGCTGCTGCCGACCTGCTTGGTCTTGAGTCGGTCTGCGCGGCGTCTGCCCCTAGCGGGAGACGCCGCCCTGGCAGGGGCAAGGGGGGCAAGGGCGCGGGTGGAACTGGCGGGGGCGGTGGAGGTGGCGGTGGAGGCGGCGGAGGGAGTGGGGGTGGCGGTGGGGGTGGTGGCGGGGGCGGTGGTGGCGGTGGCAGCAGCGGAGGAGGAGGCGGTGGTGGCGGCAGCGGTGGGAGCGGAGGCAGCGGTGGTGGTGGAGGTGGAGGCGGCGGTGGCGGAGGGGGTGGCGCTGGTCGGGGTGGTGCCCCGCAGCGTAGCGGCTCTGGTGGTGGCCAGCGTCAGCAGCAGCAGCAGCAGCAGCAGCAGCAGCAGCAGCGTTCGCGGGACATCCCCCCGCCCCAGCAGCTCCGTGAGTGGTACACGCAGCGTCAGCGGGGTGGGGGTTTTGGTCCGTGCACCTACGTCCTTCGTTCCGGCGACCGCGCGGGTGAGCAGTGTGGGGGTGCCCACCCCACCCAGCGCTGCTTTGGCCGCCTGACGGACGCTTGGCGTCAGCAGTTCCCCGAGGCTAGTGAGATTCCCCGTTGGGGAGAGCTGTCTAGGGCTGGCGTAGCTATCTTTGATCTTGACTTTGATGCTATCCTTGCTGCCATGTATGCTGTGACTATTAGTGAGGAGGGTGACTGTTACCGGTGTTTCCCGCCCGACCCGGGCATTGGTACTGCTGCGCCAGGTACTTCTGCGGCTGCTGCTCTAGGTGCCAGTGCGTCTGCACTCTCAGGTACTGGTGAGGCTGCGCTCTCAGGTACTGCGTCGGCTTCGGCCTCCCTCACCTTCACGCTTGACTCAGGAGCTTCTCGCTCCTTCTTTCGAGACCGCACCACTCTCACGCCGCTTGGCCGGCCGGTTGCAGTCTCCCTGGCTGACCCCTCTGGGGGTCCTGTCCTCTCTCACTTCTCCACTGTCCTCCCGTGTCCGGCTGCCCCCTCGGGCACCCTGTCTGGTCTGTACCTCCCCTCGTTCTCGACGAACTTGGTGAGTGGTGCTGACCTGCAGGATGCGGGGGTTCACCAGTTTACTCCTGCGAGTCAGCGGGTGACCCACTGCTCGGACGCCCGCACAGGCCGACACCTGGCCACGTTTTCGCGTCGGCCGGGGTCGAGTCTCTACACCCTGACCACTGAGTCTCCTCCTGTCCCTGCGTCTGGCCAGGTAGCTGCGTCGGGTCAGGTGTTTGCTGCAGCGTCCAGGTCTGGTCCTGAGTCTGCCCCCTGCTCGTGTCGCCGCCTGTCTCATGAGACTCTCCTGTGGCACCACCGTCTTGGCCACCCCTCCTTGCCTCGTCTTCGGGGCATGGCTTCCCGTGTCCTTGTCTCTGGTCTTCCCCGGTCTCTCCCTCCCCTTCCTTCGGGACCCGGACCTTCCTGTGTCCCCTGTGTCGAGGGGCGGCTCCGGGCTGCCCCTCACTCCTCCCAGTTTCCCCCGACAGAGGCTCCTCTGCAGACGCTTCACATGGACGTGTGGGGCCCGGCCCGCGTCCGTGGGCAGGGTCACGAGCGCTACTTCCTGCTGGTGGTTGACGACTACTCGCGTTACACCACAGTCTTCCCCTTGCGCAGCAAGGGTGATGTCACTGAGGTGTTGATCGACTGGATCCGCGCAGCTCGTCTCCAGCTCAGGAGGAGCTTCGGCTCGGACTTTCCTGTTCTGCGTCTGCACTCTGACCGAGGTGGAGAGTTCTCCTCTGGCCTTCTGCGAGCCTACTGTCGTGCACGAGGCATCCGCCAGACCTTTACGCTTCCGGACTCTCCACAGCAAAATGGGATTGCTGAGCGCCGCATTGGCATGGTCATGGACGTCGCTCGTACGTCCATGATGCATGCGGCTGCCCCCCATTTTCTGTGGCCGTTTGCGGTTCGGTACGCGGCGCATCAGATCAACCTTCACCCCAGGGTCTCCCGGCCGGAGACCTCCCCAGCTCTGCTGTGGACGGGGAAGGTCGGCGATGCGTCTGCGTTCCGTGTCTGGGGATCTCGGGCGTTTGTCCGCGACTTGTCTGCGGACAAGCTGTCCCCTCGTGCTGCTCCCTGTGTCTTCCTCGGCTTCCCCCCTGACGCCCCAGGGTGGCAGTTCTACCACCCCTCCTCTCGTCGTGTTCTGTCCTCCCAGGACGTCACGTTCGACGAGTCAGTCCCCTTCTACCGCCTCT